AGAAGATGGGTCATGGCTTTGGCCTTCCCCTTTGGGCAAATGGGACCACTCTCAGCGGCAGCACTTGTACCTGTTGATCCCCCCAGGGCTGCAGGAGCAACTTGTCTGACAGGAGGTTTGGAACGTGGTCAACAGACACATCAATGGGCATGTAGTTCAATACAGATGACTAAAMCCCCCCTCTCTATTACTGCAACTCTTCTAGACTTGATCTCTTTTCAGGGTAGTAGACATATAAATAGGATCAAGTCCTCTATATATTCTCCAGCCCGTTTATAGTCACTAGACTTGGAGATGCAATGAACAGGGCTTGGGCTATTTTCCTATTGCTGCCCAGCTGGGATGGGACTGTCCCAGCACTTCCTGCTTGGGTTTTAAGCAGAGCCTTTGGTGGCCAGATGACTAAAGGTGCCCTTCCCAGGAGCTTGCATTAAAAAGGATTCCAGGAGCTTGTACTGCAATTGCTCTGCCTTTGGGCTGTGCATGCCCACATTCAGGATGTGAGATCATGCTGAAAGGAGAKCTGTTGTGCGTATAAATGCCAACATTTTTTAAAACAGACCATTGGTACTGTTAGCTTAAGATCTTTATTGCTGCCTACGATATTAAAAAGTCACCTGCCTTTCAACATCCATCCTTATTTCTTCACGTGCCATCTGTGAGCACAGAGCAATTGAGATTTCTGTTTGTTTCTGGCAGGGACTGTTCAGCGAAGGCACCGTGGTTTCAAGCAGTCGCTGTGGAGCTCTAGAGCACCAAGGGAGGAAGCGAGGTCAGGTAAAAACATCATTTCTGATTAGCTATCAGCACTACTTTGTCCAAGAGTTAGGGAAAAAAAATACACTTTAAAAACRATCTAGATTCAGTCAGAAATGAGTCAGGCAGCAGCGTCACCGGCTGCTGCAGGGAAATGTGCACATGCCCCTTCCAAAAATTGATAGGGCTGCTGAATTTCACAGCCCACACAGCTCCCAGCAGACCTCCCAGTACACAAGCTTATGCACACACACACATTACATTTTATATACATAGATAAACACCTTCTTAAGCACATCTGTGTAATAAAAAGTGTTGGGTAAGGATGAGTGATTCTTTAAAACCAGGACAGAGTTTAATTTGGCAGTGGCTGTTCCAGGGTGCCAAGACTGTGCTGGGAAGCTGTTGTACCCCCCTGGCAGACAGACAAGCTGGGGCAGCTGCCCCTCGCTGAGGCTGCAAAATAAAACAAGGATTTTCTGGGAATTATTTTGTTAGCTTTCAGAGGGCAGTGAGCACCTGCTTGCTTTATGTCTTGCCAGCTGTTCAAAGGAGGGTTGTATTTATGCCAATTTAACAGCCTTTGCAAGGCTGTGTCTGTATCATCTCTTTGCCCTACCAGAAGCTCGCTGTCCAACCTCTTCCAGCAAGAAATGCTCCAAATTCTGTGCCCATTGCAGGGCGGGTGCTGAGAATGAACCAAGGCCAGGGCAGAGTGGCACTGACCTCAAACAGTGTCACCATCACCCTTAAGGTGTCATCTTCATGAACATTGGCCTTCCTCATGTTTGTTCTTCCTCTAGAAAGGAATTTACGCAAGTAGGACAGTCCCGTTTACGCAGTCTATCAGTGTAAATGAGATCTGTGTGTCCCAAACGTGATTTTAGTTCTATTTTGTTTTTATTTTATGACCCTAGGCAAGATGCACCCAGGTGGGGTGTTCATGCTTGTGCCATAACTAGAGAAAGATGAAAGCCYAGAGTCTTTCTCACTGCCCTGAGGGACACCTAACAGGATGTGCAAGACAGAGCACGTGGATGTGCTGCGTCCGAGGCATGTTGCTAACACCACGTGCAGAACTTGGCRCAGGTTTGCCTTGGTAACCCTTTTTGCTAAGAAAGGAGCATAAAAAGACAGAACAAACAGTTCCACCCTGTGGTTACTAGTCACGTGGAAGAGTGTAGCCCAATATTGACTCTTAAACAAGTTTTTTAAACAAGTTTTCTACTGTCATTATTGAGGTTACTGTTGAAGGAAGTTAGATCCAGGCCCCTAAGACCCTGCAGTGAGTTGGAGACACCCGAAGTGATGGGAACTCCCCAAAACAAGTGGACAGCACATTAAAAATAAACACTGCTTTATTTGCCAACAGATTTAATTCTTATTAAATGTACATAAGTTAGCCAAACGCAATGTTTACAAAATTTACCCCAACATTAGTGTATCACAGACATGAGCATCATACCTAGCRGACCAGAACGCTACTCCAATTACATGACAGTACATGTCAAAACAAGGAATACATAGGACAGTAAAAGAATACATCTACTTCCATGGCTTCCTTTGGCTGCAAACTGATGCTATTTTTCACCTTTTCTTAAAAAAAGTAAAAGCAGAGTAAGAAAAATCTAGAAAAAAAAACAGTATAGTGTTTTGTAGTTGCAGTTCCATTTTGCAGTCATTTGCTTCAATCACACCTTACGAAATCAGCCCTAGGTATAAATACTACATTTCAAACAAACAGAAATAAAAATCCCTGATCATCCTGCACTTTMAAAGGCCAATTTTGTTTTCTGTTTAACTCTAATGAGGCTACTGCTAAGTAACAGTAGTTGGAAAACAGGAGTGGCTTCACTTTGGTTAAAGGACACTTCTAGATATGTATTCAACCATCAAAAACATATATTCCAGCAGGAAAGATAAGCACATCCCCAAACTGGCTAGATTTCTTTTTATTTTTACCATTTTTCAAAAACACTTGAGTAAATATATATATGTATATAGACTACTATAATCCTCATCATGCTAATAATCCTTTCCTTGTGAAAATACTGCTTAATAACTCGTAAAGGCAAAATATTATGGCAAGAGGTGTGTTAGRCTGTGGTCATAGAAGACCTTATTAATATGGCAATACTCTTCAACACCTTCTACATACCACAAAGTAATGCTTTGAAGTGTAACGATATATTTATATACATTTTTAATTAAGTCAATGCCACAGGTTCCTTTTTTTATTCTAGGATTCAGTATGTGCAGAATCTCCTTAGCATGAAATAGGAAAAGAGTTTAAGGAAGCAAGAAGTGGTGCCAAATATCCAATCCAAATGTGGAGGCAGGGCTCCTGGACACGAACATCACCTCCAAATCTTTGGTTTCTTCCTTGTTTCCTTTCATCTTGCTTTCAAATAGCAAGTTTCACTCCAAATAGCCAATTTGGCTGATCTATTTTCAAGTGCCGTATATTAGGGTACTTACAAGACAGGAGTATTCACGTTTTGTCCTCCAAACCCATCTACTGCTGAATTTTCAAACCCGTTTTTAGCTTCAGACCTGTGCATTTTGCATAGAAATACCCCTATGGTTCTGCATCTCACCACCTCATTACTTGAGGTGACACTTTTGTTGCTGTTAGCAATGGCTAACCATGGGATCTAAATTAAGCAGCTTAGTATATRTATATTTAAGAAGCAAAAAAGTGCTTTCATTTTTCTGATTCTGGTGTTGCATACGTAATTGCCATGACCAAGACTCCTCTTTGGCTTCTGCACCAAGCAGCAGAGCYACCTCCTTTACTGCCCTCCTGCAGCAAACACTCTTTGCTTCCAACATATGTAARTATTCAAGAACATGGTCAGTTCCTCAGGAATCACTAGGATGCAGGATTTTTCCAAGCCAACTTGCACAGCGAGAGCCAAGACCTTACAGTAAGGACAAGTGCAGAGCTGCTCCAGCTCCCCAGCCAGAGCCCAGCCGTGCGGGGCTTGCGAGGTAGGCACTTCAACGTCAGAACTTCTGCTCATCGCAGCACTTCCACCCAGACGGGGGGTTCCTACACCCTCGTGGGGCTAAGGTTGCTCACCAAGTGTCCCAAGACACAGGCTGCTCATGCACCGTTTGGAGACTCCCTTGTGGAGCTAGTAAACAGTACGTTATTTGGCTGATACCCCAGTCTGATTTGCTTTTGGTATACTTGCAAGGAAGTATAACTATCAAAGTGCAAATATCTTCAAACTTGGGCTCTCAAGCCAGGGTACCTCAGCATGAGAGACCTCTACCGTCYGCCACTGCTTCGTATCCATGCGGCTGGGTTGGGAATTGCTCCCAAACAGCTTGGGAAGGTGTGGGGCAGGCAGCGTTTGGCCATCACCGTGCGGGTTCAGCGTCGCGCCGCCTGCCAGGGCGCTTCCAAAACACCCATTTCCACCCAGCAGTGGCCTTCACATCTTCTGTCAGACACAAGTGAACAAGGCACTAAGCAGCAGAGCGTTGATATGTTTCCAATATCCAGCCAAATCATAAAAAAAGGGCATAACCGCTTCAAAWCACAAAACAAGGGCACATTCATTAACTGGTAGCTATTTTGTACAAGTAGATATTATAATATACACACATACAATAACCTTAAAAAAAGCCCCAGGAGAAAGCAAAAAAAAAAATCCTTCTTGAAAATTAAAAGGCTCCTATAAGGACAGTGGCAACAAGCACATTGCTTGACATTCTTAACATGTTTTGAATCACAGYCCTCATCTCTGTGCAGGTCTATGGCAGTTCGGCTCAAGTCCCTGGACCCTGTTCAGAATCACAGCACAGAGACCCCTTTAGCCCTGTTTTGGCCTTCAGAAACTGCAAGAAACCAAACTAAGTTTGGGCCAAAGTGGGTCCTTATGTCGAGCACTTTTTCCCTAGCAGTAGCTTTTGAGGTTGTGGAAAAAAATCCAAAGATGTTGATCACATCTTTTCGAAAACACCAATTAGACAATTCTACAGCATTTGCATTTGAAGAACTCTTTGGCAGGTACCTTTACTGAAAAAAACTTCTAGTTTCCCTCATTTACTGAATTACATGCCTTAAAATAATTCCTAGTGGAATTAGACCAATATAGATTTAAAAATTCATCCCATCTAAAAACACATACAAACTCCAAGCTGTGAATATGTTATGCAAGATATGTATGTTGATTCAAAAAACATAATCCAATCTCTGCATCAGAAATATTATCTGATTTAAATGATCATGCTATGAAAATATTTCAGCATTTTTCCATAGCAGAAGTCATTCATAACATCCTTTCCATTCAACTAGGGCACAGCCAGAACTGTGCCCTTTGGAACAGGGAGCGGGGCTTGGTGACAGCCACCACACCATAACCTGTGATCCCTTTCAGGGCCACAGCCTCTAATMTTGGGAATCCAAATTCAGGAATTAGACAATTCCAAGTTTTTTTTTTCCAAGTAATGGACAAATAGGTAACAGTGCTAAAGCCATAGGAGTTAATGAATTTACTCAACCTAGGACTCTCACTAAGACCCTGTAGAAAAGAAGTCCCAAATCTAGGGGCTGAAAGCCAAGGGTTCAGAGGGTCCCGCTGCTTGAGCTGACTCATCCTGGGCAAACCCCAGACCCGAGGCCCACAGATCCACGGGCTGAATCCCATACAGCAGTTTCTTCCATGCTACATTGCTCTGGATAATTCCACCTTCCCTTCWGTGGCAATGAACTCCTTTTCAGTGGCCTGCGTGTCACCTCGACACAGCTTCTCCTTCAGCTTTTCAAGTTCGTACTCATGTAGGATTTTCTGTGTCAGGTACTTTTCCCGTTTTATTTTGGCTTTCACGTCTGCAGGGACGTCAGGAATCATCCATGCTACAAAGAATTTCACAATGAAGACAACATGCTGCAAGAAAGAAAAAGGCAGGGGAAGTGAAAAACCTCATTGCTACATCAAAGAATAATCAATTAATACCAATGATCACTTCTCTCCATAGATTATTTATCAATCAGCTGAACAATACATCAAACTCATGTTTTTATCTTGGTGCACATCTCAGCTACACTTTTTTTTTTTTTATGAAAAACTTGAATTCCAAGCTATTTTTGTAATTAGCAAATCCAAGAAGGTGTCAGGTTTTGAACCCCCCGGCATTGCTCTCTAATCYCTGTGTGTTTTCTTAGAGAATTCCCATGCTGATGACGCACCGCTTTTGAGAACTGATAAAATAGAGAGGTGCTCATCACCTGTCCTACTGTAACAGTCTCATTTGCACTTTACAATTTGTGAAACACTGCCTTAATACTCAAGTGTCAGTCACCCAAATTGTTGATTTAGCTTTAATATATATTTGTATATCTGTGTGTGTATATCTCTCACACACACACACACAAATAATCCAATATAGATGACCACAAAAATGCCTTTTTTTTTTTTTTTTATTCTAGTGGCTGTCTCGAGGAAGCACTAAGGAAGCCAGGAGGAAGTCAAGTGCTAATCCTCACAGCCTATGGCTCTTGCCGTCTACAAGGTATTTATTCTACTGTTTCCTTTGGGTCAAATCTAGACGTCTCAAACTTCTTCCTCTTCTTTTACTTTGAGAACAACTTCCTGAAGCTAAAGACCCAAGTCATAATATCTGTTTTGGATCTGGAATACTTGATATTACTTAGAGAAGAAGCTACTTATACTCTCAGCAGTTCTAGGTCCCAAAATATTAGGAACTACCTACAGAATCTGTAATATTAATTTCATAAGAAAATTGTGGGGAACTTACCTCCATAATAATTATAAAGGCCATTTTTGCAGCAAGGATGTGCCAGAACTGCATAGTGTGTAAATATCTCCTCTCGTGATCCGGAGGGTATCGATAGTCTCTGTACCTGTTMGGCAGAAAGACATGGAAAGGTGAAATGTCATATCCAGTCTGAGACAGACTACAAGCTCTGTGACACTTGCATGCAAATACAGCTGTCATTTAAGGAACCTTTTCATCTTGTTTTAAATGGTCTGCTTCCTTCTGCAGCAAAAGGTTGGCTCTCGTCATTTGTTTTCATCTCGTTTGCTTCAACACCCTCATTCACAGCACCGGAGTAAGGATGAGGATGGGCAAGAAGTGCAGTTTTGTACATAGGTTGTCTTTGTTTTTAGGCCATGATCAAGTCAAGCAGGACAGGGTGATGCCATGCAGCACACAGTAAGGGACAAGTGTTGAATAAATGCAACAGGAGTTGATAGATTATGGATGGGACAGGCACTGGGTTTAATCAGAGTACAGGCTTGAGTATGTGTTCAGCATTGACTCTGTATGYAGCCCTCAAGCTTTAGAGCTCAAAAACCCTGAATTGGAGCTGCTTAAGGGAATCTGACACCATATAAAAAAATTCCCTTGATCATGGATTTCTCTAACCCTGTCTCAATTCTCCTAGAAACAACCTTTTTTTTTATCGTTAAGAAGGACTTTTGTTCCACAGAAGGGAACAATCCAGATTTGCAGTTACGTTCACCACACTGACATGCGACTTGAAAGACCATAGCTCATTTCCAGTAACTGCACAACTAAATATAGGCTATGATATAGGCTTAGGGGCAACCTTAGGGACATCAGGCTCCTCCATTACTCAGAAATCAACGGGATAATGAAGGAAAAAAATACATATTATCAAATATGACAGTTTTTGACAGTAAAAAGGCAACTTGTCCTTATTTCCTTGTCCTATTTCTTACAGTCTCAAACACYGTCTTGTTAATAGCTTAAACACTAGTTTTAATGCTTGTGAATTGTTATTTATTTTCTAGTGGACTACTTAATAGAGCCTCATTGGCTTTTTATGGCATATTCTAAACAGAGGGTGACAAAACACTTATTATCCCAACACAAACCTGCATATGACAAAGTTATCTGGATTCATTTTCGGCTTGTTTCTGGTAGGAAAATCTGCAATTTGAAACACTGACAAACTATTGTTTATGTATCCAGACATGGGCGAGGCGTCGTTTGTCGAATAGGCATAGTAGTAAACTAAACGAGGAATCATATCTGATGTGAAGGCCACAATAAAAGCCTGAAAAGAAATAGGAAAAAAAAAAAGAAATTGAGGATGTGCCACACAGTTTGTGAGCAGATTAATAAAAGGCATAACCCTGGTTCTATGGCATAACTCAGGTGGGTGAAATTCAGACAGTTACCTTGGAACCGACTCCAGCATTTACTGCAAGCACTAGCTGAATTTAAACACTTCATGAGAAAAAAAATAGGTTAGCAAAGACACTAAACTCCCAAGTCTTCTTCACTAGATGAGTGTTTTGACTTATAAACCATTTCTCCCTTTTCCTTCTCACTTACCTGTGAGTTACTTGATGCAGTACCAAACCAATTGCTCGTTCTTTCCCAAGCTCAGACCAAACCATCTTGWAACAGTGATTATAGCCCAGCTGAGAGGGAGATGGGGGTTAGAATTTTTGTGGGGGCACAAACTTGAGTCTGGTGCGCGATTGCCAAGGTACTGGAAAGAACAGGAGCCAGTCGCTCCAGCTGCATTTCAAAAGCAAGCAACAACGAMCAGCATATGCCATCTAAAACCCTAAAATGCTCAGAGTGTCCAGGTACCTTGCTAGTTACTCACGTGTTTTTAGCACCTGGAACACCTAYGATCTGACATGGTTTAATAGGTAACCAAAGTACCTATTTCACCCAGCACATTTTTACGTTACACTAAAGAGAGAATGCCAACTGAGGCATTTTTAGAAGTATTTTAGACCATTGTTCCCATAGGAGAACCCTGAAGCAGCTGAACTAGAGTAATTCCCACAAAACTGATCCTATAATACCAAGACAAACATCACCCAACYAATGGGATTAATACACTTCTACCGCACATGGCTCTCTGCAAGACTTGGGTTCTTCCAGCTAATCTTCAGGCTAACTCATGCCATTCCAAAATACTGGATAAAGAAACTGAATGAAAAATTACAGTCCAACAAACTATGGACTGCGATGCACATCACGCCGCCAAGCCCAAATGCCCAGATAGCTTAACTGCACCTCCTAGGCCAGCATGGCATAAAAATGAGTATTACGGATAAAGGAGAAAGTGTTGACGGATTTTTAAAAATTTAAGCTTTGAAAACACGAACACAATATTGAGTTAGCACAATTAACCTACTTACATTTGTGACAACAGACAAGATGGCCATTCCGTTGAGGATCTCTTGCCACACTCCTATGCTGTGTGCCTTGGCAGCAACGGGTCTCCTGTACTGTGTGGTCAACTTCCAGGAGTCGACTCTGATCTCCAAAATGTTGTTCATCAGAGCAAGGAGGGGAGCCAGAGGAAAGGAGGCCACAAAGAGGGTGATAAACCCAAACTGAATTACTGCAAGGGAAAAAATACATGTCAAAATGTGCCCCAAGGTGAGAACCTTCAGATGGATGACAAGACAGTTACAATGCCATGAGTAGACACATGGCAAACTTCTACCAAGGCTGTCCAACAGAGTCTCTACCCCTGCCCTGAGAATATTTTTATCACCATCTTATCCTATCTGCTGTTATTGGTTTAGTTAAAATTCTTTTTTACTATTCATTTTACCTGCATTAGTTCTGGTAGGAGTCTTAAAATTAGTTCAAACTGCAAACAGAAAACAAAAACGATGCCTTTATTCACTACCGTGGCAAGATTTCTTTTGATGCATTCTGCATCATTCCCCCGTGCAGAGGAAATATCTCCCCTGCATTTTAAGCAGGGAACATCTTATGTGCTTTAGTCAATGGAGTCAAACCACCCCCTGCCACATTCACGTCATCCACTTTCAGGGCTTCAGTGATCTCATGACTTCTAGTCTGGCTTCCACTCACAGCTTTAGTTTCTTGGGTTTTGTCAGGAAGTTTCCCATGCTGATCACGTCAGCATCACTCAGGAGCAGTCTCTTGGTAGCTCCTGCTCCCTCTGCTGGACTACATCAAAGTGCAAGCCCCAAACCACGTGTGTGTCTCTCTCATCCAGTTCACAGCCCTCAACTGCAGAGCAGAGGCTTTCAGCATATTTGACACTCGCTCCACGCTTGGACTTCTCCCTGATATCAGTAGCAAACGTGCTTGGGAACAGGATCCGAATGCCCAGTGACAGAGCTGCCTGTGCCAACAGTAACRTTCACCAGCCGAATGAGGGGAACAGTCCTGCCTGTGTTTCTTATGAAACTCCCTTTGTTTTGAGATGCAAAGACAGCCTAGTTCATTGGGCTGGTTTATTCCATGATTTCTAGCAGCTCACTTAAGCTCTACCAGATGGAAGCAATACCATTACCCCTCAAAACTGACTGAAGTCTAATAATCTTCAAAATGTGAATAAAAGCTGTCTTGTTCTCATTGTAGAAAATGCACTTTTATCTCACCCATTTCCAGATATTCGTAGAACAGACCCAAGGCACCAAATATCTGCAGATCGTGGTCCTGCTCCCAGCGACTGTACAAGTTCTCTGGATTACTTCTTGCTTTCCGGCGGCCCCACCAGTTACAAATCCAGCTGTATTCACAGAAAAAGGTAACAGGAGAAGGAGCAAATTAAATATTCCCTTCAAGAAAGATTCTTTGTGCAACGTGCTTTCACAAATGAACAGCCAAAAGCCTTATAAAGCAAGTCTACTCTGCAGAACTGATGCAGTTAATTGCATACAGCCTCTTTCTCCTTCACCTGGTCTACTGAACCTCTCCTTGCCACCCCTTTGCRGGCAACTCAGCAGAGGGGTCACTTACGGGACGATGGCCTCCTGGATGTTGCCCCAGATCTGCTTGCCAGCCATGACGATGGTGAGCTGCGTCGTCAGCTCTATCAGGCAGCCCGCGGGGTCACACTGAAAAAGGCAGACGGGCAGTTAGCAGTAACATCCCAACAGACGTGATCCACGTCAGACATCCCCCTCCGTCCTCACATCTGCTGCAGTAGGCTAAGAAATGCCCATAGGGTCTTTAGGGCAATSCTTAAGTCCCATGCAGACTGCCAGCCAAGATTTGCTCTCCAGGAAGGCTGTTACACAGGGCTCAATGTGCCCAATAAGGCAGGCATTGAAAACAGAGACCATTTAAAGAGGCAAGTCTGAGGTTTAAGAGGAACTTCGGTGCTTCAGGATCACCCCTGTGCGGATGCCAGCAACCAGTCCACCTCAGTCCAGATCAAATGCACAATAAGTAATTTAAAGCAGCACAAGTTGGAGGTGAGGAACAGTTTAACCAGCTTATTGATGAAGGCAGAATGAACAACTACAACATCCTACCTCTTCATTTCGCCAGCGATTAAACATGTACGTGTAGGCACCTGGATAGCCAACAAACTTCCCTTTGAAGAAGGCCACGTAGAAGCAGGACGAGTAGTAGTTGACAAACTGGAACAGAAACATTTTCATGGTCAGCCTGTTTTCATACTCCAGATGAGTTCGGGGAATCTCTGCAAAAACAGGATATAATTATTTTATTTTCCCTTGTGCCCTTAAAAGGCCACAGATTCAGAAATACTCCTCATCCCTGCTGCTGTCATATCCCACAGGAAAAGAGTTCAGCAAATCGTGGTCCTGCTCAGACACTCGCCTCTATTTACAGTGCAGTGCTCTGAGCAGGCAAGCAGAACTCATTCTTGAAGCGTTAGCAGCTTCCATCTCCCCTGCTTCATCCCATCTGCTAACACTTGTCCCACTCCAAAAACTCTCATCTTGCAGCTCCTAAATAGAGTCCATATCAAAACTCTGCTGGCAGTGTCCTCTAGAATAGGAAGCTTTGGTTATGGCAATGCCCAGAACACAAACACAACCCTGCTTTGTGGGATAGGGCTGCATCAATCCTTGTTTTGGGTGTGCTGGATACGGGAAACTTCTATAGAAACCTGAAGGAAGTGGATGGGCCCTAGGCCTCCAAGGGAGAAGGCTCATAGTAGAGGAACGTGAGGGGAATATCCAGGAACTCTGGTGATACTGAGCACTGCTTAAGATTTGCTGCCCTCTCATAATCCCATTCTCTTGTCAGATCTGGTTTAACTAGCCAGCCTTAGGCTAAAGTTTTATACTGAGTAAACTAACCCCTCTGCATTGGGTGCAAGTTTGCACTGCTCTAARTAGTTTTGATACTACCAGGATCATTTGATCAGGATCAAATGCCAGGAASTTTGCATTATTGTGTTCTACAGCCTCGTAGCAGCACTCGGCAGGTGAGGCAGTGCTCCAAGGCGAGGTGAGGCCTTCCTGCCACACAAGAGCACATTAAAACACTTGTACAGAGCTGTATCTATAGGCTTGAAAACAAAGTCTGGCCTAACGTTTTTCAGGAATCCAGGAGCCAAGGGAGTTTGCACAGACATTCCTGACAGAGGTAGTCAGCACTTCCTGCTCCTATATTTGACTGGATCTCTGAAGTGCAGCTGCATGTGGCCTCCCACAGCCATACGAGGGCAGCAGTCCCATTTAATAGACATTTTCCTTCTGCAGCAGATCAACAGAGCAATGCTGACACTTAAACCACTCCACTAACATGGCTGAGCCTTCACGCTCCTGTTTTTGCCCTTCAWCAAGAAGGGAGAGGCATAAAACCTCATTTCCCCCCCCCCCACACACACACACTTTTTTCCTTTGCTAATGCCAATTTTACTTATGTTTTTTTCCACTGGTAAAACTTAGTCAAGTAAAGAATCAAAATAAAGCCAGTGCAACTGGCACAACTATTGTGCATCTGCACGGAAAACCTTCCCACTGTTAATTATTTGAAGAACTCAGAAAAGGGTCAACGTAACTGCTTTTAGGACAGCCATACACATGCATAACGTTTTTCATCTTCACCCTCCCCTAAATGGCATCTCCTGCAAACTTCATTTCTTTGTATACAATACATGCAGGAATTTCTGTAGGTGTAATAAGTAAATAAAAATAAAGGGGGCAAATGGCAAAATAAGAACCACATATGAAATTGCTACTAAACCAACAGATTCTTCTGGTTCTGCCCGCCACCTGCTCTGGAAAGAGTCTGCTGAAGATGACCCTCCCAATGGCCAAAGCCACAAGATCATCTAGGCCTAACTGCTGCTTTTATCTTCATATCCTTTTAACTTTGAGCCTGTAAATTCATAGCTAAGGGAGGCAGTACTGAGACAACACCTAGAAGATGGGTGCTATCCCATTYCTCTCCCCCTTCAGAGGGACAGAACTGATTATTTAGCCTTCCTCCCTAGCCAAGATGACTGTTGAAAAAGCTGTGATCTGTTTGAGACTACTACTTAATACTCATTCAGAATTTATAGTTGGAAATTAAGACAGCTTCATCTTGCTTTCATGAGTTTGTTACCCTAAATGATTTTTAATTAGTGCTCAGTGATACAATGGCCTCTCTGTGGGACTAATTTTAATATATACAAATGTCCTGTTAAGAGAGCTTGCGATAACTATTGGAGCTTGTCTCCAAGGGCACTGCTCACCCATATCAGTAATCCAGATGGCTATTCTCTCGTAGAGGAAGTTAAGAATCATGATGATGACGAAGTTGAGGCAGGAGGCGGTGACGGACGTGGCCAGCTGCGGGGTGAGCAGCCCGCTGATGGGCTCCAGCGTCTGCGCGTTCTCCATGAGGCTGGCGAAGGCGGCGTACACGGCCAGGCGGTACACGATCACCGCTATCATGCTGGCTATGATGAGGGACACCTATGGAAATAACAGGGATAAAATGCACTCACAGCTCCGTACAGCTACATACATGCCACTCAGCTCTGTGCAGCCACTTGGCAAACAGCATACACAGAACCATGCTCAAAACTCTCCYATTCCATTCCTTAAGGACATGAGGTCAGCAGCACTGAAATGCAAAGTACACAAGCGACCTCTTGTTTTGATTAGGTACATTAAACCCACCAAAATTTTGTTAACACAAGAAAAGCAAGGCAGTTTAAAAACAATATTCTAAAGGGTGCAGAATAAAGCCTGCCAGAAGTTRGGATAGAAAGGACTTATTAAATTTTACTGCCTATTTCCCAGCCAATTCATTGCACAGCTATTTCTCTTAAATTGACTTATATTTCACTGTATCCGTTTTCTTTTTGCCTTTATTTTTTCCAAGATGTTCTGGTGACAGCACAGTAACCCCTATGCTAGAGAGGCTCATCCCATTTCTAGTCCATGACAGATTTCCAAGGTCTTTTATCTTTTTCAGCTGAATGGAAGTGCACTTTGCATGACAGCAGGAAACATACAGGAAAACAGTCCAAGGGAAGGTTAAACACACTAGTATGGGTTAATGGGATGATTAGTAATAATCAGCAATTCCTGTTAATGTGATGATTCAAGAGATGCTCACCCAGAACAACACGGTAGTTCCTGAGATGCAGAACCGTACAACTTGGCTAGTTAGAGGCAAATAAGGCTCCATCTCCTGAAACAGTCAAGCAAGCACAGCACAGTTCACAAATCCATAGTCTTATTTGTACATCAGGCAGCACAGAGCTCTCAACAGCTGTGTGAAAACGACTACATCCATGGAAAACCATTTGTAACCCTTCTCTTTTTGGACAAGTAGGACATGAATTTGAATGTGGCAATGATAAAAGTACTCAGGACAGAAGAAGTGGCCGTGAACAATGCTACAAGTAAGCACAGTACCTGGAAGTAGTAATTAAACCACCACAAAGGAAAAATATTAATCTGTAGAGGAAAACAGATTCAGTTTATTCGCATGATTGGGACAGAACTATTTATTGTAATACTAGGTCAACTCTGTGTTCAAAATTGGACTGAATCTTAAGAGACTCCACATGTGAAGATGTGAAAGTCACCCTCTGCTGGGATGTACCACGTTGTTCCACACAGCCAGAAAGCTTTTTCTTCCACTCCTTCAATTGAACTTCTCATTGAAGAAATGGCTACGCTCATTAGTTGCCAGTCTGTGCTGCAGTGCGAGGCGGCTCGCTCTTACCCAAAAGACTATTCCCATATAGCACAAGCACAGTTTTCCTCGCACGTGTGCAGGTCTCTTTAAAGCAACCAGTTCTAATTCCTAGAACACCAGATTATACACATTAAGAGGAGTTTACTTAAACTAACGCGAAGGGAAGAAAATTTGATAGAGAATAAGCTGAAGCTGGTAAAGCTTTGGGACAATGTTTGATTGTGTACCTTACTTGTGACTTTTGGACAGAAGGGTCTCAAATACAGCAGGTCAGCACATTGTCAAGGGTGCTGCAAATCCCTATTCTGGAACTGCAGATATCTTCCAATTAGAAAAAAAGTGTTGCAGAGGCAAGTTTAGTTTGTGTTGCCAAAGCCCAGGGTGTGCTGAGCACATTTGTGCTCCCAACCATGTGGCCAGACCAGCCTTCCTTTGGATGTCAAAGTCCTGTAGCCAGGTCACTGGATAGCATGTCGTTAGGAATCAGCTTCGTTTTAAACAATGTGCTGTTGTCAAACCTACTGTCTGCTTAAAGTGTACTTCAACACTGGTAGGAATATTTGGGTCTTGACTTACTACAAGGTTTTTGATGACTGTAACAGTTGAGGCTCTATTAATAGCTCTAGAAAAGCTGAATGTAAGTTGATAAGGACACAGATCTCAGGGGACTCTACACTGTAGCACTTAATGTGCTTTATTTGCTAATATATAACACTAAGAACAAATGCCTCAGATATTCTACRCTATTTAGCAAGTAGTTTTCTACTTAAGAACCCAATGCAGACACTAAGGTTGTGCAGCAGCTTGGCCTTATTTTGAGTAGACTATGTCCATTTAGTTGTATAGGTTGATACTTCTATAAATTAAGATTCTACAGAAATCAGCATAAAAATTTAGCTGCCACTGAGCTAAATAAGTCAGCACACAAGTATAGTTCCAGGACTTAACTGAAAGAAATTGCTCATCTTGAGACTTAATTAACAGTAGATGAGATATCAGCATGCCTAGAACTTAGAATCACAGGAGAGTAAGGAGAAAATAAGTCTAACTAAAACCAAGTTCCCCATGACCCAGTAAACTCTGTAACCTATATCCATAACCTKTTCAGACTACAGAACTCAACCTATTTTAGTTCTTTTTCCTATCCCATGTTCAGTATTAYACATGATCTAGTAAAAGAAAATCGAGCTATGCTGTGGCTGACCCGAGTTCACTGTAACTGGGATAAGGATCACAGTGCTTCCAAAAATCCAAGCTAATAAGCTTAACACATCGTATAATTAAGGATTATCCAATAACTGAATTGAATAATAACTAAAGGGAATGAGAGGAACCTCATGAGAAATGAGATTAGCATATGCATTCCCTAATTAAGGGGCAGCCCTGAACACCAGGCTACTGTTCGTATAATAATGCTCCTTAATAATGCCCCCTCCTGCTTTGGCCAGGTTTCTATTGCTTTTCTAAGGACTGTGTTGTCTTAGTAACTGATGGAAATTAGTTTTTATATGAAGCACAATTCTAGGAAAAGGGAGGATAGCTTAAATACTGATTGAGGCAGTAGGTGTTGTATTTGAACGCAACCAACTGGCTCCTACATTCCTCAAATAATTCCTCCCTCAATTCAGTTTTAGTGMGGGCAGTTAACTAGTTTAAGTGTTTAATAGTGCAGATAATTCTAACTCAGATTCCAGACAGGACTGCAACAACATTTACCTTCTAACTGCTCCTTTTAAGCACAGAGAGGCAGTTGCAGGTAGCTCTGCACTGAAGAGCAGCCCAGAGTCCTGAAAGGCAGGGCTATTAGCTCCAGCACCAAGCAGTGCCAACACAGCAGCCCTGCCGTCAGCAGTTTAAGAGCTTATTGCTGACGTGGCTCATTTTAGACAATCAAGGAGCACACATCTTGCTCTTGCCAACTGCAGTGCAAGARCAGCAAGCGCTGCCCATCCTGCTCTGGTGCCCAGGGTTTGCTCAGCGAGCCTGGGACAGGGTGCGGTTGGCACCAGGTTCCTGTATTTAAGCCAAGGTCCTTGGGATCACAAACCTAGTTGTGTGGAGATACAGCAGGGTCTGCCCTGCTCTAATATAGAAAGGCTGTACTGCTTATCTGCGTCACGCCAATCTTTATCTAGCAATTAGATGCTCRTATCTTATCAAACTCTTGCCCTAACCTCTCTCAGCCCCAAACTGAGTTTTCATGCATGTCAGCCCAGCATGTTTAGTTACCTGAGTTACAGGATTCTTCTTCTTTTGGGTACATTTGGCTTCGTACTCAGGCCTCAGCTGGAGTTGCTGCTGTTCTTCTTCAAAGTCAACCAAGTCCCACTCATATTTGAGTCTAGCTTGCCGTCGCTTCCAAAACTCCAAGAAGAGTGTAACTGCAGAAGTATTAATAAAAAGTTGAAAGAAAAAAAGGGGKTTTAGGAGTTGAGAACAAGGTTATCATCTACATGAATAACTTGTCTCTGCACCATCTCCTGCTCTGCAGCCTATGACTTGCTTTTACCATGTGACCCATCTATTTTTTCCCCCCCTCAATTCAACCACCTCTTAAAGTTCATATTAAGAACAATAATATGGATCAAATATATTTATCTGAAATTCAAGATTAGATGAAAAGAAAGATGTCCAGACAGGATGTGGATTATTTCCATAGTTATGGTACCATGTTCAACTACTCTTTAACTACTTTTCCAGACACAAACATCAATCCAGCTTAACAAAACACTTGAGATAAGTCRGTTAATTCTCTGTGTATAGATGTGTAACATGAACTGTATTACTGATAAGCAGAGTTGTTTCAGAGTACTAAGTTCAATGGCTTCTGTTATTATTTTGATTCTTATTTGATATTGTAGTCATTTTAAAGACAGTGAATACRTGATGCTTTTCAAGTGCTTGGGACTGAGGCTGGCTTAAGGACTGCCTTTTCAAGTGTTAATACCATATAATGGTAAAAAGCCTTCCATAAGCTACTTCAGCATTTAAGCCTTAAGTAATCTGATTGTTCTTATTTGGACTCAAGGGACTCTGGTTTACACAAACACAGGAAATTTCATCTTGTGCTGTTCTACAGCCCTTTCCAAATAACTACTCTATCAGAAAGCCTATTGTTTAAAACCAAGGAAGGTTTAGCAAACAGGGACACAAATCTTATTGCAGGATTTTTATTTCTCCGAAAGAGCTAGTGATTAAGTATTCAAACACTTTTGTAGGTTAATAAGCCTGTATCCAAGCTAAGTGGCATTTAATTGTGGTATTTGATACACTGTGTCCCCTAAACAGTAGGCAAGGTATTCAAGGAAGTAAAGAAATAACTAAGTCGTTCTGAATCTATAAAGACATATAAAAAGCAGATACCAACATGTATTCCAGACAACATAATCCCGGAGTTGGAGCCAGTCTGTTGGTGTGAACTCACCCTTATAAAAGTCTCAGGACGTCTACCCATTTCTGTATGGTAGGAACAGACATGCAGGGTATGAACCAACTGCTTCTTGTCCCCAAGAGTGCTGCAGGTGCCCCAGGAGTGCTGGGTTGCAATCAAAGGGCCTCTCATCCCTCATGTGGGCACTGATAACTTACAGAACACAGTAGGGAGAGCTCTTGTAAGCTGTGGTCAGACCACTCTATGCCAGGCAACTAATGACAGAAACTAATGGCAATAGCTGATATTCATGATGTTGTCACATCATATATGGTCCATGATGTCTGTTTCTTTTACTTTTTTAAATCATCATTCCATAGCCTTAATTTCTTATTCTTTTATTATGTAGATATTTTTGTTATCCAAAGCCATTTTCTTCTTCCCACCCTGGTGTCCCCTCAGCAGTTCGTTCAAGATCTCCTTATTGCTCAACATGAACCTACTGTCAAATATACTCACCCCATATGCCCATGAAAATAGCAAAGAAGAGAGTTGCCACGTTATCAAACAAATGGGAATACTGCAACAAAACACACAGGAAAAAAAAAAATCACTAACAAAATAGTTTCAGCATGAACAAAACAACAAGGGTTGAAGAACCAGATACCAACCTCTGAGGACGCACAYGTGGTGTTTAGCTTCCAGTAGTCACAGTCTCGGTCACAGAGAGGGCACATGATGATCTCTCCTCCAATTGCAGGGTCACAGATTTCTTTGCTAAGAACAGAGTGTTTTACAGTATCTCTTTTAGAGCATCTTAAAAACCACTATATAAAAAAGCAGATAAAGCTTCATTTGCTCTAAGCGCAACATTTGCAGGTTTCACATAGTTGTCACATCCACTGATGCAGCCTGTAGCGGGTCAGGTCCTGACAACAAAAGCTGCTCTTGAAAGGACGAAAGCTCACTATTCGCTTGACATATGCTCTAGGTTTTTCTTTTTTTCCCCCCTCTTCTTTTTGTTTTCCCCAGAAAGCCATCAGAGGCCCTTGAGAAGCTGAAGTCTACACATACACCTTTCAGGTGAGAAACTATACATTATTTCAGTTAAGTACACTGCTCATTACACCTTTTCTAAATAGACAGGTATTCATTCAACTTTCCAATCTATAGGAAAAGTTGATATTTTCCTATCTATAGGAAAATATCCTACTTCTGTATCACTCTCTAAATCCATCTGTTAAAGGAATCCTCTTTTAAACCATACTGAACTTGATTGCTACTGTGGGTGAAGTTTACAATCATTTACATATATTCAAATATATTTTCTTTATATTCAGAGAAGTCACAACATGCATGGCAGCACACCCAGGTGAATTCAGCATGCAGTAACTATAACACAAGTCTCAAAAGAACGCAAGTAAATGCTAGTTTCTGAATTGTAACTTGTTATACCATCTTTTATTGTTAAAAAAGTTATCCTTTTTTTAACAATAACAAAAAACCCTTCATTAAAAAAAAAGAGGCAAAGTGCCAACCCTCCTCCTCCCTGACAAATCCCTGAATATAATACAACCTGGAATTTGTTCAAGAACCAAATACAAAATTAGCTACAAAACAATCTTTGGCAACCTCTATCTTATGACATAAGCAGTCTTCAAGATGAGGGCCTCATCTACCTTGTCCTCCTGCTTTTGATGCTTAGTAGAAATAAGTACTTCTCCCCCCCTTCACCTCTGCAAAAGGTCAAGTTACTCTGAGATCAATTCAAGTTAAATTAAATGTTTTGAAAAAGATAAGCTGTTGAAATACTGAGATGTTAGTAGCATTCTTTCATACCTTATGTATTGCAGATACTGCAATATAAAAACAGAAAAACATAAGTGCTGCCAAAGAACAATAAAACACCATCTCTGGCCTGCAGCTTGGGCTACACTAGTGGCCACCACCAGTTTAGTCAATAGATGTAGTTGGAGGACAAGTTAGTCTGCCCCAAGGTTAAAAAGTTTTCTAAGAATAAATAGCTTTGTGTTGTTTATCCTCTCTGTTGTTTGATTTGCTAGGTAAGTCTTAGCCACTTAAATGSAGGAGATTTTCAATATTTCACTCACCTGCTCATATTTTCATCCATCGTAAACAAGCCATAGAGAAAACAGATCAAGCCAACAACTGCCGCAAGGAATAGCATCTCGGTGTAAAATCCCAGCCAGGCAAAATAGATTCCAATCTTCTCACCATAGTACTTCCTAAACACAAAAATATCCAAGTAAAACCATGCACAAAATGCCCATGTAACATAAGAGCAAATCCACKGGCATATACTGGTAAAAATGAGATTTGGATAAAGTCATAGGTGAGAGTTACATGAGTTAAATGAAGAAAATACATAGTCTCTTTTGACCTTTTCTTTTGGGCAGAAATAACAGCTTTCAATCACCTTTTCCCCTGCCSGCACAATAATGTACATAAATATTTGCTACTTTGATTTTCTAAGCGCTTATTCCAAATTAAGTAGGGCACAATAGTTTTGATCACATACTTYGAACAAACGGGCTATTTATCACAGAAACACCACTGGCTGTGTTCAAAACRGAGCAAAGGTAACCCCTGAATAAAGCAAAGTATTTTTATCTAAGAATAGGAGCTGAATCCAAGAGACAGGGAGTAAATTTAGTTGATATTTGGGTTCAGTACTGAAGAGTCAAGCTTCATAAACTGATAGTTCTCAACATATTTTCAGKTTTGTGTTGAAATCTCAATTTCAGCTCCATCTTGAACAACACCTGCCCCAGCATCTTGATTGCATTATATCACATACTCTCACATGTGTGTTTTAATTATCTGTAAAATACCTGACTCCAAGAGCATTGGCTAGATTGAGCAGGGCTTGATTTGAGGTAAAGCATTTTGCCTAGCTGCTAATAAAACCATTTGCTTGGGCAACAGCATTTCACCTGATGAGGTCCAAGGGCTGTTCTTTGTAGAACCGTAGGAAACGGGCCCACTCCATGTACAGCGTGTACCTCTCGCTGTCACAGTTGGGATCACTTGCCTTTTTCCAGTACTGGCACTGCGGGCATAGCAGAGGAAAGGCAAAACAGCTCAACGTCAGACTCAAAGACTACATCAAAAGAAACAAACACTGATGAAAAGGTGCTCCTTGAGCTCAAAATAATGAAAGAAATAAAATTTTAAGTCAGTATTGTACTTCAGCACTTCTGTATAAGCAGAATCTTCTCCATATCAATAGCTTTTTACACGTATTATATAGGCATTTTCAAAGAACATGAATTTTAGATAATTTGGCCAACCTGTGCCCTAACCATCTCCATTTAGGTTACACTAATATTGTGCTATGACAACATGTACTTTGTGATACACTTCTATCACAGTAGATGGAGATGAATTGTTTGTTCCTCTATAGCATATGTACTTGCAGAAGCTTCCCTAAAATAGAAAACACCTATTTTACGCCCCATTCATTAAAACTAACTCAAATTTAAGTCTTCCCTGTAGTTCGGAACAAAGCTCTCTTGACAAGTTTCTCAGTGAAAAGCTTTTGGCTGTGATGTGAACTAGGAAATATAAAYTCAAGTTTCAATGCCTCCAGACATTACACTAGAAACCATAGCACTGAGCACAGTGTAAAGTTGAAATACTGTGTGTGCAAAATGAACAAAAGTTAATAACAATCATAACTTCATCACCATCAAGCATCTACCAGACCAAACTAGGAAAAATCCTACAACTTAATACCTTTAATTTCCAGGAAACTGATTAAAGCACATTTTGGACAGCTCTTGTGATTTTACTCTGCATTGTAAAACTCTGTCTCTTCAGTATACTTGTCTAGGCTAAAAATTCACTTTATGATCTTGCTCATCTTGTCTTGAATGCCTCTTGCCTATGAAAAGCATGAAAATTTCCCAAAAAGGCATTTAAGAGAAATATTTTAATATGTTTTTTTTTAAAAACAAAAAGTATTTGAAATTCATTCGTGTCATTCAACATTTTCACTTCTCTTGAAAACAGAAGTCTGACCATAGGTAAAGATAAGAACATTGGAAAATGCTCAAAGGAGCAGAGAGCTAAAGTACTTACATCGTGAAGAGGATATGCAGCTGAATAGGTGCCATTATTTAGCAGTCTTTTAATTCCAAACTTTTTCTTCCCTTCTTCTGTCCCATAGGGGCAACGCGTTAAGATGTAGTAAACCTGAAATCAAACACACATTTCAGTCCTCTTTTGTTTTCAAGACATTTGAGAGGTTTCTACTGGTTGAGGCAAAGAGGCCTGTACAGGAATGGCACATTCATCCCTTACCAGAAAGGGCCCGTCCGAGGCTGCTAGAGACAAGCTAGCCTTCCTGCAAAGACCCTCATATTGGTGGGAATAGATGATTTTGTGATTTTACAAAAGACTCAGTCACCTAGAAGATTTTATCTTATATATATATATCCCTTTCTTGCACGAGTAATCCCATGGTCAGTGCAAGTCTCCACATAAAGCAGAAAGACAAATTCATATACATACTATTCTGTTCCTCATGGATGGCGAGAAGAAGGTGCTCTCATCATTAATGAGGTACAACTCCTGCTTGTCCTTGCTGAATGGTGCTGTGAAGTAGTCGGGCTCGGGGTGCATCACCTTCTCAGGCAGCCTGAAGGGYGTGAGCACGCAGTCCAAGGGGTTCTCCACCGTGCATGGAATGTCATTCTCCCTGATGGGGACTTTAATGTTCAGCACTTCGGCGTACGTGATCAGAACCTCCCATGGGGCATGGATCTTCACAAAGTAGATCTTGCCGTCTTCAGATTCCTGCCCCAGGAGAGTGAAATCTGATATTAGACTAAACTGTGTGTTACTGCAARATTGCCAAGGAGAGCTATTGCACAATTGGTTTCCTTTTGCACATTTAAGGAAAAAAGGGTGCCTATCCTCACTAATGGCTGRCACATTCCCAAGCTCAAGAGGGATTTTGCTCCAGCCTTCATCTGGCACAGCCTCACCACCCTCACTCCATCCTGCAGCAGCCATGGAGCAGTTTGCTGTGGGGCACTTGCCCCTTGGCCACTTCTGTGCCCTGCTCGTCACTGTGCTGCATGGCAGGGCTCTTAGTTTCCTAGGTGGGGACAGTTTTCACTGAGCAGAGCAGACCTGGTCTCCTTGCAAAACCCAGTTCCCAACAAGACCTAGCGAGTCTGTTATGGCCTTGTAGCTCCGATAAGGACTAATCTTATCAGAGCCCTTACCCCTCTGAGCAGGCCATGTGGTGTGTTCTCCTGCCTACGCTGTACATGCACACAGGAGACTACAGTAATTGGGTATTTTTAACCAGTATCTCGGTGAATCTCTATCTGCAGATGTTAAAGTCTAAACTTCATCAGGAGTTTTCTGCTCCACCCAATCCCTGGCAGGGAGAAAAAAGGAGCACCAAGATTCTCCTCACAAATAAAACAGTATCACTAATGTGACAGCACCAATCAAGTGTCCTGCAGTTGTCAGACTGGGATCCTTGCTCATCCCAACTACGATACCCAGTGATCAGGACATCAGATATCCAGCAGTAGCTGCTTAAGCCCCTTCAAAGCTGAGCTGAAGTGGATTAAATCTAGCTGCAAGTGAACTTCCCCCTTGCTTGGGCTTGGATTACAATTCACAGCTATTTTTCCACTTCCTTTTTGTGGCAGGATCAGATGCAATGACTTCCTGCATCTGACCTCTTTGAAGGAAGGAGCTAAAGAGCTTTCTTCTCCCAGCCCTTATGAACATACCTGGAAAATGCTAACTCAAGGAGAGATGCCTCAAGCTCATTTCTCATAAGTTATTCAAACTACTGACATCTGGGAAATTTTATTACCGTAATCCTTTACAAAATAATAAGATTAATTAATAACTTGCAGATCTGTTTCTTTGGTCCTTGCTTTTTTCTTCTTTTGTTCGTAATTTACCTTTTTGTCTTCTGTTTCTAGTTCCAAGCCAGCCTTTTGCAGGTTGCTCTCAAATTCTTTTCTTCTTTCCTGAAGATAAACAGACAGACTTTAGTAACCGAGGAACTGGGGAAGCTCTACTCCTTCACGCTGCATGGATGAAGGCTGCTTTAAATTCTGCCAAATTTGTAAAAAGAAAGCAGAACAACAGATTTAAAAAAAGAGCCCATCTCTACCAACTCACTTCTGAGTCACAGCAACTCARCATGCCTAGAATGAATCACATGAGACTGCAGCTCAAAATAGGAGAGCCCCTTCTCAGCTTAGGGAGGGTCTCATCAACGAGGTAAACTCATAAACCAAAAATTAAGTCACAAGTCCTGAGCCATACAAACGATGCTGCAAGTTGGGAATAAGCTGAAGTCTACTTTTCCCCACTCCTTATTCATTAAGTAATTCCCAGGTAGCAACTTGGCAAGAACACCCTCTTCCTCCCCTTCTCCATAAAAGGGGACTGATTTTTACTCCTCTTCAGAGATGTGGTTATTTTTTCTGTAATTATAGTAAAATTGCTGAAGAGCTGCCAGGAGAAACACAGCATTTATGTGAAATATTGAGCCCCAGCCTCATTAGAGAGCACTAGCTGCCTTTGGCTTTCTAGCTAGCACTTTGAACTTGCATAAACTGCTCAAATTAATACCGTGTGAAGAGCAGGTTTAAASGTCCTCAGGTCTATGCTGTGTTGATATATTGTGCTAAGCACAACCTCRCACTACTACCTACAATAGCCCGTTTTGCTGAGTATCAATTAATATTAGATTAGATACTTCCCTAGGAACTGAAATGCAATAATCCCTGCATTTGCATGGGAGCTGCAACCCCATGCATTACTACTTAATTCATCTACCCCAGAAACACACATATATGCAGCTGGACAAACTAACAGGAGAACTCATGTTTGCAGACCCTTTGATCCCAAGGCAAACCCCACAACTTCAGGTGATTTAAGAGTGCATTCCAAGGTGGCACAGGAAAGCTGCTGTGYGAGCCAAGCACCCAGAGCTCTCCCTGCCTGTGTTTTCTCCAAACAAAGCAGACAGCCTCGCATTCTTTCCCTRGCAATCCTGGGAGAGATCCAAAGGAGTCAGTGCAGAGGCTGCTCGGCCCTTCCAAATGCTTGCACACTCGTTCCTCCTCCTCCTATGCAGCTCAGTAATAGACAGAGCCACCCGACTTGTCTTTTCTCACCATAGACTTAACTGTGATTAGTTTCAAAACTACCATAGAAATCACACTGCTTTCATGAGTTTGCTTCTTCCCACTAAGGCGTCRCCTCCAGGACACTTTGGGACCTACTGTATATTCACATGCTCCTCATGCATTCAAAATAACCATCTCTAAACGTAGATCAACCTATGTAAGAGCTCTGCTTTCCTTGCCAAACACTGAATTTCTTCCTAATGCCTCCAGCTAAGGTTTAGAAATGGACAAACGTGGCCTCAGGCCAGTGCTGTCGTGCTGATATTATTTAATAGGTGCACGTTCACGGTCTCATAAACCTGAAAAGCTTCACGTGGAGCACAACAAACTACATAACTCCATTATCAGAGGGTAGAGAGAAGGGAGATAAACAGTTACATCAACCAATACTGGTCCTTAATTCCTTTCTTTGCATTTTAAGTAGACCTTGAAAAAAATAACCCCTTTCTTGTGAACCCACCGTGACATACATAGGACACAGGCCACAGAGCAGTCCCTTTCCGACCACACCATTGTGGATTCACATGGGACCTTCACCAGCTAACAGAGACCTGAGTGTGGTGAACCATCCTGATAAGATTAATAAAACAAGATCCAAAGTCCAACAGCACTAAGGTGATCCATGCAGAGGCAACWCTGCATTACCAAGTATCTAAGCAAGATAGATACCTGTTATAAATCTGCTTCTTGATAACAGTGTTGTTATTGCTAGTAACAGCTGCCAGTAAATAAAAGAGGAAAATCATTTCTAGAGGTCACAACATATTATTCTTTAATAAGACAACCCTTTCTCCAGCCTTCCCCTTCCCTAAGGGGAGAAGCTCCAACTCTCATGTATCACAGTGGTGCAACATGATCTAACTACAGTCTAGAGTAGGACACTGGGACAGAAATAGGAATTCTAGGAATACTGCCGGACCATAAGGGCAAGCAAACTGAGTTCAAGCTACTCACACATCTCAAAGTATAATTTGGGGCAACAAAGATCATGTCTCAAGCTTATGTAAATCATTTGTTAGATTTTAATGCATCTATTTCTTCATATTTCCTTCTTTTATAGATAGAAATAAAACATAATTCAGTCAGTTACAGGCACTAAGAAAGTAAAGAAAGTAGCCTCAAAAGAGTAATTTTTTTGTTTGCAGTGGCATTGTGTTTAAGAGCTATGCATTTAGCTCATAGAATGCAGATTCAAAACAGAATTCAAACTGCTTAAACTGGAAAGTTCCTGGGGAGCATCACAGAATTCAGTATATTTGTTCTGCATGAAGCTAATGGAAGAGAGGCCCTCATTGCCTCTTTCCAGAGCAGCCACAACAAGGCTGTGCTGAAATGCACATTCATCCTGTTGTGAAGTTATTCATCTCATTCCTAGAAATGCAGAATAAAGCTGTTTCCTTGAGACAAGCARAAAACGTAGCAGTCACGACCAAAGTTTTTTTCTATTCTTGGGTTTTACGTTTTGCCAAGTCACTGTACTGCAGAAATGCACACTTCTCKACGGAGCTGTACAATAGCAGCATCACATCTCAGCATGTCCCAGAGGCTGCACTGCATCAGAACTGTTGTTTTTGCCCACAAAGGGACATCACAGCACTCCTATGCTAGGAGGCCTGCATTATTTCCTYGGAAGGCTCATTGCAAAAAGGCTTACAATACACGTAAACACAGGGTAAACCTAAGTTTTGCAGCAGAAGTCCCCATATCTATTTGAAAATTGATGTGCCCTGATATTAACACCATCATGCCCGTCAGTTCTGCAATTGCCAGCGCAGTGTACAGAGGCACTGACCCAAGGCCTCCCTCCACAGAGCCCTATGGATGCGTGCTAGCAGCAGACACAGGTGGAATTGACACCCTAGCTGATAGTTGGGCTAATATCTAGCCAAGATTCTTGCCTCTCCCAATAACCCATAAAGTAAAAAAGCCCTATTATGCATCATATGAATGGCTAGAATGGACTTTAAGTTCWTTTTTTAATCCCCCCTTCCTCGAATTATTTGTTAAACAATCCATCTCTTTGCTCATGTTACCTGAATGTGACTAATGGAAAAAGTTTATCATGCAAAAAAGTTGAAAGCTCTCCCTATATTTTGAGGGGATATTTTCCTTCTCCCTGCACGGACTCGTCTCTTCTTCCTTCTTCTCTCTTTTTTTTTTTTTTAAATACTTTTTGCTTTATTGTGAAAAGCAGATTCTGGCAAGGGCTATAACTTTAGGAAGCCCCCCTCAAAACACCAGGTTGGGATGGAAAGCTCACCTTTAAATAAACCTATGGAACCCAAGCTATAAACACAGCTATACATATATCCATATATTGACTTCTTTGTCCATATATTTACAATATTCAGTAAGAAGTGYGTTCTACACTACACTGTATTTCCATATAAGAATAACAAAAACACTTAATGAAATCAGTATTACTTGCACAGAAATGTAATCACTAAATGATGAAGTTTAATTATTTTTACTCTGAGCATAAAACAATGACAAAAAGGAAAATGGCATGGATTCAGTGCTGCGTTTAAATATTCACTTCTACTTTAACTGAGGTCAAAAAAGGAAAAATAYAGCACATTTTATAAAACAGCATAAATTACTTCTAGATCTTATTTGGATAATGTTTCACTCATTTAGAAGCCTCTAACACTTGCCCCTGTTCAACAACAATACAGTTAATAAGGCTGTGGAAGATAGTATTTATATTACTTATTATATTGTATATTATATTAATGGTTGCACAATATACTGACCAACTTAAACGCAGTGATTATTCAGAAAGTGTAATCCTAAATATTTAGTAAAATTATATCTGAAAGGCACAAAACTAACTTACAGAATGATATAAGGGGTTGCAAAGTTCAATTCCTATCGAGGACAGCATTTTGAAAGACTTGGAAAAGGATATTCGGGTCGTGATAAATAAGAACTACAGAGATACCATAAACAGCAGCTTACCAGCTTTTTTTCCCATTCTTTATTAAGATCATCCACATAGGAAAGCACAAAATCAATTCGACGGACACCATCCCTGAAGAAAATGGAGTCTTTGCTTTCGTGTCTTTTATCAATCTGTGGAAAACACATGGCTCCGATTAGAGAGAGTCAACTACTGCTGTTTCTCTAAAAGAAAAACAAGAACAGAAGACAATAGCTTGCCCTAACTGCTTCTGTTTTTCAGTTTCTTCATAGCAGAAAATGTACTCAGGCAAGTTGTAACAAAGCCTTCACCCAGTGAAAAACAACTTCAGAATTAAGTGCCTATACACACGCACACACACAATTCATRTACTTACTCTTCTCACAGTGGCTGCATGTTAGTGTGGCAATGCCTGTGAACACCGTTATCCTTTTCCTTCGCAGGTTTCGGAGCACATCAGAACCAAGGACCCCAAGTGTTACTGGAGAGCATCACRTGCCCTGCCGGGTTAGTACGAACGGTGCTCTAGGTAAGATGCGGTCCAGGGCGCAGTCCGACTTAAAGCAGGGAGCAAAACCAAAATCCATGCAGTTCTGCCTCCATAATAAGGTTCAACCAGCCACCAGAAAACATGTGCCCCAGCGAGGATACTTAGGTGCTCACATACAGAATAAGCTACACAGAGGTGACATTTCAGAGGATGCAAAATTGAGTACTGCCTTGGGGGAGACAGAGGGAGAAGACTTTTCTGTTGAATTGGTACATTTTATTATTCCAACTGATCCATTAGAGTTCATTCAGCAGCAGGCTGTATCATTACATCAAGCTATATTAATAACATACCTCTTCTTCAAAGAGTTAGGCCACAACTATTAATGTTATGCCAATTAAGACTATTACCTCATGGTCCTAGCAAAAATAACATCATATTAAGGAACATTATTATTGTTTAAGTATTTATCTCCAAGCGTTGACAAGACTTCAGCTTCCTTCAGCCAAATGCTCTCCATAGAGAGCAATACTTTAGTCTAAATTTGTCTTTACGCCGAGGAAGTTGGTTCCAGCCGCACCAAGGAGCAAAAGCAGTGTGTATTTCCATGGGGCTGAATTTGRCTTTCATTTTGTTAAATTAGGAAGAAAAAAAATAAATAAATTGCATGGGGATACATCAGTCTCCTCCCTCATCAACCATATCCCTCATCACATACTTGGTACAACCATGCACCAAGTACGTGCCACTGTGACCTTGGCTCCCGAGTTTATCAACAAGAGGCATCACACAGTGAAGCACGTTATTACTGCAGCCATCCCAGCCACTTGCAATATCATTCGTCACTGTTTTACCCGGAGACGTCGCTTCAGGAACAGATTATATCTCCTCCCAGGCTGCTGGAATAACCAACAAGTCATTAGCAAGGCCAACCGCATCGAGCCCACCCTCTGTCACCAACTGGACCTTGCGAGCAAACTGGGTCCTTAAACAAAACACCTCCAGTTATTAGCAAAAAGKACAACTGGGTGGTTTTTATTTTGTGCCTACAGTTCCCTTTGTAGGAGCAACGGAAGCAATTTGCTATTGTTTCAATGKGAATTTAATTAGCATCCAGAACAAGGCATAAATCTGCAGAGCACCAGCAGTACCGTAATTACGCAGCATTTAAATAATGGAACCCCAAAGTGCATCTTAACAACTTATCAAATGAGGAATCTGCCTAGAAGGTCACAAACGCCAGTTTAAGAAGACAACGACTTTTCCTTAGGGAACTATCAAAAGCCAGAAACACTAAGAAAGATAAAATGAGTTCAGTAATATTTACTTAAAGCTCCTGCCAAAGTCAAGTTTCCCAAATTCTTTGGGTAGCACAGTTATAATTAAGACGTTCCAGAGAGCTTATGTAATCTTTTAGTCTTTATGTCAAAGCCTGCTGYCTTCCCAAAGTGTATCATGACTCAGTTCAGCTTTGATTATTAATTTATGTATGTAAAGATGCAATAGCTTTTCTGTCTCATTTTACATGGGGAATACTCATCAAATCTTTCCCCTTCTAAACWTATGACTCACCACAGAAAAGTGGCAGGCCTAGTCATTAAACTCATAAATTTTTCCTTCCCATGTTGCTGCTTGTGGATTTCACAACAAGATCAGTCCTAAATATTCATGCAGTTTTGTGCATAAATGTGAACTTACAGGCCTAAAAAGGAGCAAATAAAACATTGGTAGGTTGCACTGCTTGCACAGGTGAACCACAAAACACGATGGATTATTGGGTTTTACTTTTGAAGAGCTCTTTGCAGACGTGTGATCCAAACACCCTACCTCAAGTCTGCCTAAAGGTGCTAAATTGAGCCATACCACCACAGTTATTTCCCAACAAACAATTACAGGAAAGGTGAAGTCAGACTCTTCTCACAGGCACGGAGCCAAAGGAGAAGAGGCTGCAGGAACAGGTCACAAGCCCCAACAAGGGATGTTCCTGCTCGATACAAGGGAGTAGATGAACAGGTGGAACGGGCTGCCCAAGCAGACAGTGGCATCTCCATCCTTAGAGGCTTCCAAAACCTGACCAAGCAAGGTCCTCACCTCGCTAAGGCAATTACAAAGTCAACCTAGCCTTGAGCTGGAGATCATACCTCCAGAGCTCCCTTCCAACATTGTTATAGGAGTCTGTGCAAGGGTAATACTCCGAGTGTTTGACATTTAACAGCATTACCAAAAGYTCTGTAAACCCTTCAGCTAAAAATAAGCTTATAGTTTTAAAACATGGAAAGTATCTTCCTATGTTCCTGTAGGAACAGCAGTTTTAGGACTGCTAGACATCTGCCCGAGATGAGCACGTTGGACAACATTCAGCTGAACTACAGTCAGAATACCTGCAATCCTTAAACGTAATCTGAGGACCCTAGTAGGGATGCCTGACTGAGGCCGAGGGTACAACACCCAAATGCCATTTTTAATGTAGTCCAAGGTAAAAGGTCATTTTATAAAATATAGTCCAAAGCAAAACAAGAGTTACAACAACCAACATTCAGTTCTGCCCAAACCAACTTGGGTGAAGCTAATAAGTGGTGGCCAGGGGCTGCCACCCTCTACCTACGCTCCAAAATCCAAGCCTTTCAACTCTGTCACACCACTAAGTGCTTGACAAACAGCCCTTCACCACCTCGTCCCCACAGGGCCTCTGGCAGATCCAAGGCAAACAAGAGAGTCACCACTATTGGGAGAGGGGAAACAAACMACTGGACATGGCATCCACCACTGAACATGGCAACAAAGAGCTTCAGAGGAGGGACTTGGGAGTGAAGTGAATTTATTTTTTGGGCATCCACATAACCTTGCACACTGCTTAGTGCAGCTCTCCTTTCAGGCAGCCACATCTGCTGCCACCTCACCTTGCTACTAAATATCCCAGCCACCTCCAGGCCTGCAGTAGAAGACAGAGCAATATTGCTCTGAGCAATCAATACTTTTCAGATTAGCACTCCAATTCAATCCAAATTTCCCCAAATTCAACCTCTCCCTCCAGAGCTGAACATGACACCCACAGCCAACCTTGCAGAACTAGGACTACAGCTTGGACAGTCAACTTCCTTTAACTTGACACTGTCTCCCATAACATCCTCATACGGAAGCTCCGGGASAGTGGACTARAYGAGTGCACGGTGCRGTGGATCGAGGGCTGGCTGGATGGCAGAGCTCAGAGGGTGGTGATAAATGGGGCCGAGTCCAG